GGGGCGGGCCGGGCCTGACCGCCTGCGCTGGTCCTCAGGTCATCACCAAGAGGGGCAGCGCCTACATCCTCAGACACGCGCCCGCCGTGCACCGCGAGCAGCGGGGTCTCAGCCCCAAGGAGGCCGTGCTGCGCTTCATCCGGGAGGCCTGCCGGCTGGAGGACGTGCCCGTCCACTTCTTCAGGCTGTACAAGGTCACGCCCGGTGGCCGCCGGGGACATGGGGGTGCAGGCCGCCTCGGAGCTGCCTCTGCCGAGGGCCCCAGATGTGTGGGTTGGGGGTGGCCAGGGCCCGGACCCCAGGACAGGAGGGACATGCAGATGTAGCGTGCCGGGTTGCCGTCTGAGTGGTGGCTCCGTCCCGGTGGCATTGCCGTGGCCCCAGGGTGTGCACGGTCACAGCTGTAGGAGTCCTGGATCCCAGCCTGCTCGGCTTCCTGTGGTGAATGGTTCCCACCGAACCTTGTGTGAGGGACAGGCCTCCGCGTGCTCCTGCCCATGTCCAGGGCGGCCTGGCATTTGTACTTGGGGGAAGTTGGGGTGAGGGCCTGTCATCCATCAAGTGGGGTTAAGGCACTCATGTACTGGGGCGTGAAATTCTGAGAAGGCTCCGGGGTAACAGGTGCCAGAGGGGAGACGGGAGGGCCCGAGGGGACCCTGCTTGTCCCTGGGGAGCCCGCCCCCCAGGCACAGGGCTCTGATCTCTGATGTAGGTGTCCTCTTAGGATAAGAAGGAAGACAGAGCTACCATTGTCCTGGGGCTGACGCTCAAAGGAATGCACATCTATCAGGTGATGGTTGGGAGCCCCACAGCCCCTGCCCCGCCCCCCGCCCCCGGCAGGGCCGCGCTCCGCCCCCTGGGCTGACGCTGGTGGACACCTGGATTCTGCTCTCTTGCAGGAGGTGAACCACAGCCCACAGCTGCTGTACGACTTCCCCTGGTCCCACATTGGGAAGCTGGCGTTCCTGGTGCGTGTCTGGTGGGGTCACAGTGGGAGCGGGTCCCAACCCCCAGGAGCCCAGGAGCACAGCTGGCCGCCGGCTTCCAGACGCCCCGTCCCTGTAGTCCCGGCCCGACACCGTCACCCTGGGCCAGGCCTGGCCCCCGGGGCAGGAGGCAGAGACAGTGAGGGCCGCTGGGCACAGGTTTGCCATTGGCCCTCTCTGGACAGTGAAGCTGAGTCCCGGGTCCCGTGCACCCCCACCCCGAGGCCAAGGGGGGTGTCTAGCCTTCTCATAACTGAGTGCAGTGGTGTGCGCCCTGCTTTACTGTACCCCTAAAATCCCACCTGCATGCAGAAATTAGATTTGCAACCAGAAATGACGGCCACTGCCTGGTCTGGGGTTGTGGCTGACGGTTCAAACACGGCTCTCCTGTCTGCCCGGTTTCCTTCTAAAACTGCATGTTGTCTCTTCCGCGTTCAGGGGAAGAAGTTCGAGATTCGGCCGGATGGGCTGCCGTCGGCCCGGAAGCTGGTGTTCTACACGGGCTGTGCCTCGAGCTCCCGCCACCTGCTGCAGCTGCTCCGCACCAGCCACCAGCTGCACCTCAGCCTGCGGCCCGCTCTGCGGAGGCTGCGGCAGCTGGAGGAAGAGCAAGGTGGGCACGGTGGGTCCTCCCGCCCGGCCGGGCTCAGGGGAGGGGACTGAGCCCCCGCCCGGGGTCTGGGCGCTCCCAGAGGACCGACCCCCCAGCCTGGGCTCCCAGAGAACCTCCCAGGCCTGCATTCTGCAGTCTGGGCTGTAGGCCTATTTACCGTTTCATTTTCCCTTCATGGTGTGTGGCCTCTTGGCTCCTGGGTCCCCCTAGATGATCAGATTGAAGGGTGTGGTGGTGACCCCATTCTCCTAGCAGTTGAGCCCAGTTGTAAGGATGGGGGTCTCGGGGTTGGATTCCGGGGAGGAATTCTCCAGGAGCCCACAGGAGGGCCCAGGGGCGGGCAAGGCGACCTGCGTGGCTCTGGAAGCTGGCTGTGCACTCAAGAGTGTACGTCTGTGTGTGCGAGCGAGTGTGTGCCTGTCTGCTTGTGCGTGAGCTGCTTAGGGGCCCCTCAAACCGAGAATGGCGTGAGGGCCCCTAGGAGATTAGTTTACTGGCTGCAGGTGACAGATCCCACCCAGGTGGCCTGGCTGTCACCATGTGCACGTGGGCCCTGATCTCTGGGGCACATGCACTCATCTCCCGGGGCCTTCGCACCAGCTCGGGCGTGGGTGGTCGGCAGGACCCCAGGGTCCCTGTTGGCCGCGTGTGGCTCCAGGGCACTCTTACGTTGCTGTCCCTCCTCTCTCGCTGCACAGAGAAGAAATGCTACCGGGAGTCATACATCAGCGACGCGCTGGAGCTGGACCTACACCCAGCCAGCAGCGGGGAGAGCGGGGACAGTCGGGACCGTGGCTGGCGCCCTTCCCCCCGCCTCTCGCTCCTGTCGGCTGACAGCCGGGGCAGCTCCTCAGGCATGGAGCCTGGGGAGATGTCGGTGGACGGGTCCTGGGGAACCGAGGCACTCCATGGGGAGGCGCCGTCCCACAGCTTCAGCCAAAGCCCGAGCAGCGGGGACACAGACGGTGGCAGCAGAGGCGGGCGGGAGAGGGACACGTGGGACCCGGACCCAGAGAAGGGTGAGTGTGCAGCCAGCCAGCCAGGGTGCAGTCATTGCTGTGGGCACCCCCCAGAGAAGAGGGGTGCACGTGACCTTGATTCCTGGTTCGTGACGGGCGGCTTTGGGGCCAGGGCCAGACAAGAGGGCAGGGTGCACTCTGCAGGGTGTGGAGGGTGGAGGTCTCTCAGTCCTCCTGCAGCTGACCAAGGAGGCCCCATGCCCCTCGTTTACGATGCGGCCACCAGAAAGCGTTTCAGCCAGTTTCTCTTGTTCTACGGGGTCCCGTACAAGTCCCAGGCCAAGAGGCCACCTCCATAGATAGCCAGCCACAGGCAGGCGCCATCGGACCGAGTGTCTGTTCAGCTTAGCATGAGCTCCTTAGACTCAGGGACGCTTCCGTGGTTGGTTTGGGGCTGAGTGGCCCTGAAGCAGCTTCCTTGTCACCCCTGTTCCCTGAGCATCTGCAGCACCCCGACAGTGGACATGATGGGCAGTTGGGACCAACCTCAGGTCCTGGCCACCAAGGGCCACCCAGGGCCACCCAGGGTCAGGAGGTTTTTGTCATTAACCTGCCGTGTCTGCCTTTACATTCTGAGTGTCTGGCCCACGAGTAAAGGACAGACTGGCCTCCATCTCTGAGTGTCTGTCCAAGCATGGGGTCTGCCATCCAGTGTGAATAATAATAATAATAATACCACACTTGCCCAGGAAGAGACATCAGAGCGCTTGGCCAACCGAAGCATCCATACTGCAGAAGCACAGGGCAGTGTGAGCCGAGGGCCGGGGCACTGCCCGGGTCCCTGCAGGTGGCAGCTGCGCGGCTCTGTGCACAGTGCATGCTGGGCTTGGGCCCTTGCTTCCGAGCAAAGAGCCCAGGTCACCCAAAGTGCAAAGTGTGCCCCATAGAACCCACTGTCGTTAGGGGGGACTCAGACACCTCCTGTGGGGAACACACATGATCATGTCTGTGATGGCAAACAACTCTGCACCCACCACTGCCCTGCTAGTGGGAGGCCAAGGTCACGGCCAAGGTTATCCCCCCCCACCCCACACACACAGCTCTGACAGCCCCAAGAGGGGCAGGTGTGAGGGCCTCAGAGGCTCTAGTCCTATCTCAGAGTTAGGGTCCCAGGGGAGAAGCCACAACATGGGGTGGGCAGCTGTCTACAGGGTGCTGGAAGTTGTGCCCCTCTGCTCATGCCCCCACCCCCACCCTGTCCTTTCAGGCTCTCGCCCCCGGGAGCCCTTGGCCGTGGTGCGGATCACACTGGTCAGGATGAGGGGCCGGAGTGCCGAGGCCCTGCCTCAGGTATGTCCTCCACTGTGGGTGGGGCAGCCCCAGGCCCAGCTCCTGCACTCTGTTCTCCCAGCCCGCTCCGCTGGGGTTCAGGGTCCTCCTGGGCACATAGGAGGGTCCCTGGACAGAGGGTCCTGGAGCTGCCGCCGGGCAATGGGGTGGCTGGTGAGGCTTCCTGGAAACGGGTGGGTGGGCGCTGGCTCTCCTTGGCTTCAGTGCCTGATGGGCACACAGCTAGCAGCGTGGGGGCCCCACCATGTGCTCAGGGTGAGGCCATGCACCCCTCCACCCCCCCACCCCCCATCCCCAGGCGGTAGGCATGCAGGCATGTGGGGGTGGGGCAGCTGTGACCCCCTGGAGCAGGGGGGGAGCCAAAGCCCATGGTTCCAGGACGCCCAGGCAGGGACGGGGAGCTGGGGGTTCCCAGTGTGCCTGGGGGTGATGTCCCTGTTAGAAGGGAAAATTAGGGGTGATTTGACTCAGAGTGGGACTGAGCTGGATGTGGAGGAAGGAGAGAGAAGTCCCCGGAGCGCTGGGCAGGGTCAGCCCCGGTGGCGCTGGGCCTGAGTGTGTGCGGTCAGACGTCTCTGTGCTGGGCGTGTGGCTCCTCTGCAGTGGTCCCCTGATCTGGGGCTGTGTGGGCAAAATGCTGATAGTTCAGTTGCTGGGGTGCACTTAGCCGGACTCCAGCCTGGCTGGGACCCCGACGGCCAGCTCGGAGCCGGGGCCCAGACACGTGTCCCACACATGAAAGGGGCGGGGGCTGTTCTTGTCTTCCGAGGTGCCCCGAGCTTATTCCTAAAATCTATCAAATGACTCCAGTAATAATCCAGGTCTGATGAGTTCAAAAGGAGAAAACAGCCCAGGGCCGCAGGGCCCTCTGAACAAAGGGTGGGCTCTGGGGGTGGGGGTTCAGGTTCCTCGCCCAGAGACAGGCGTTCCCTCCAGTGTGAGTGGCCTCCGTGACAGGGCAGGAGCTGGAGGGGCATCCGCAGGCTGGTCACTCACTGCCCTGAGCCTGCCCCCTGCCCGGGGAACGGATGGGATGGACAGAGTAGAAGACGGCTCGACTGTGTCCCTGCGAGATTGCAGCGGGGCGGGCGGTGCACCCGGAGGTCTAAGAACCCTCTAGATTAGGAGACAGTGAGGGCAGCCTGCAGGAGGTGGCTGCGTGGGTATCCCCAGTCGGGGGACAGCAAGTGTAGGCGCCCGAGGCCAGAGGTGCAGAGGGCTGTCAGGAGGTCAGCGTTCAGCGTGGACAGAGCACGGAATTTGAGCGGTCCGCCTAGCACACGCAGGCGGGACTTTGTGGCCTAAGCAGCCAGCAGGAGACGGAGGGGCTGCAGGCTCACCTCTGGTCTCTCCCTGCAGATCCCTGAGGCGACTGCAGGCCACGTGGACCAGCACAGCCGCAGCCTGGATGATGTGCGTCCGCGACCCGCCCCACGCCCCGAGCCTTTCCCGCGCAGCTGCCCCCTCGGCTTTCAGCTGGACCCCAGGCCCGCGGTCCTCCGCGACAGGAGGTCCACAAACTGCCTCTCCCTGGACCTGCTTGGAAAGGACCAGCTCCCGGAGGAATTTGTGGTGTAGGCCCTTGCGGCGCAGCTCCGTCCACGCTGCATGACTCGGACCAGGCCGTGTGGCTCCGTTCACGAGGGGCTTGGTCCATGGTGTACAGCTCCACCCACACAGCGCTCCATCCCCGCTGCAGGCTCCGGCGCATGCGGGGTCCACGCTGCAGGCTCCGCCCACACAGCACTCCATCCATGGTTCAGTCTCTGTCCGTGTGGGACTCCATTCACACTGCAGGCACCATCCACGCAGGCTGTCTCCACGCGGGGCTCGGTCCACGGTGCACAGCTCTGCCCTCATAAGACTCCATGCTGCAGGCTCCGTCCACATGCTCTGCTCCGTCCACGCTGCAGGCTCCATCCACGCGGGCTGTCTCCACGCGGGGCTCGGCCCGCGGTGCAGGCTGCGTCCACAAGGGGAATCTGTCTACGCTGCAGGCTCTGCCCACATGGGACTCCGTCCACGCTGCAAGCTCAGTGAATGCGGGCTCAGTCCGCGCTCTTCAGGCTCGGTGCACGCGGGACTGCCCACACTGCAGGCAGCCCGCGACACGCGGCTCAGTCCGCACAGCAGGGTTCCATCCCTCAGCCCACGCGGTACGGCTCCGGGTCAGGACGGCCTCTGACCCTCTCTCTGCCCTGGAGGTGCCCGCCGTGACCGGGCACCTGGCTGACCCAAGCTTCAGGCGCCACCCCGCCTGCCCAGGCCCCGCTCCTGTGTCTCCTGTCGGAGGCGTGGAGGCGGCTCTGACGTCAGGTCTGGAGAGAAAGTGGAGGCGCGTGTCTCCGAGGGACCGCAGCGGCCTGAGCGCCTCCGCCCGGCTGTCCAGGACCAGTGGCCGGGCGGAGGGCCTCGAGCCTGGGAGGGACCCCGGGGTTCTCTCTGCCGCGGACTTTCCCTGGATGGCTGACCAGGTGCACAGGCCTTCCGGGAGTCCTGGAGCCTAAGGTCATGGTCATGCCTGGCCCCAGGCTCGCCCTAGACCGCCGTGCAGTTCCTGCTGCTCGCAGCCCTGGGCAGAGGCTCCTCTGTGAGGTGTGGGCCCGGCTCTGTCACCCAGGTCCCTCTGGCGGACTCCCCACTGTCCGCCACCCACAGAAGAGCACACCACACAGCTGTGTGGGCACCCGGCCCCCACGGGGCTCATCAGATCCGGCGGCAGGGAGCCCCAGCGGCAGCCGAGGGGTCTCCTGCATACGCCCGGCTCTCGGTGAGACACACAAGAAGCCTGCACGGAGCTGGCGTCTCTCTCTCCTTCCGAGCACAATGAGGGGTGACACGTGTCGCTTCCCTCACCTCCCCCCGGCCCCCAGAGATGCACCCAATCCCGAGGGCTGCAAGCTGTCGGCAGCATGGGCTTTTGGGCTCTCAGCCTGGGTCAGCACTGGTCACCCTTTAAGGGTCACTGCCACTGGCCACCCCTGCCCTCCATCAGAAGATTGGCAGGAGGTGGGGGCAGATATGGGGTTGCACCTGCCCCCTCCCTGCGGGGCAGGAGAGGTGCTCTCCCCGATGCCGGCCTCCAGTGGGCTTCATGGCCTGTAGCAGGCTCCGTTTTACAGTCCATGCTGATAAGACTCCTGGAGGGCGTCTTGGAGGAGCTGTTGGCTTTCACTCGGGGCCCTGCCCGCGGTGCACGGAGACCCTAGTGAGCAGAACAGAGTGACAGCAGGCGTGGCTCCAGGCTCAGCGCCTGCACAGGTGGACATTGGACCACACGGTCAGGAGCAGTGTCTGCAGCCCGGGAGGCCTGGCCGTAGTGAACGGCTGTTTCCCGTCAGCCAGGCCGCCAGCCAGGGCCGAGGCGTGCTGCCCTCCCGCCTCCAGGGCCCTGCTTGCAGATGGCCTCCAGCCACCCTGAGCCATCAGCCACCGCACAGTGTGGAGCTGCTGTGCTGTCAGCTGGTGGAGGGGGCCAGCTCAGTAGACAGGCAGTGTGTCCCCAGATGGAAAGGCGGGCTGGTGCCACGTCCTTCCGGCCTCCTGACTGTAGGTAGGCCCCCCGCCTTCCTTCCAGAGGCTCTGGATGGCCGGCGGGGGACCAGGTGGGACTGGATGGTGACACACCTCCCAGCCTGAGGCTCGTCAGGGGCCCCAGGGTGTAGTGTGGCTGGATTTCCCTGTGGGCTGCCCGGGTCCCACACACACCTGTGTCCTCTAGCACATGAACTGACCTGTATTTTGCTGTCACATAGTCCCCAGTATTCAGTGGGTCACCGAGCCCGTTCCCACACAGCATTGTACCTGTGACATCAGCGTCCCCTCCCTGTTCTGCCCATGCTGTGAAGCCTGCGTGGCCCCGTCCATCCTCACTCATGTTGGAAATGGAGGGCAGAGCTTGAGCCCGCAGTGGAGGGTTTTAGGGGTGTTGCAATTAGGCTGATGGTCCTAGGGCCAGTCCCTTGTCTTTTCTGTGACAGGAAACCCTGTGTGCCTCCCGGGATGTGTGATAAAGACTCTGCGCTGGGCGGGCGGGGGCCGGGCGGTGCGGCCGCCCACTGAGGCTTCCCCCATGAACCACCGTGGTGTCCTAGTGCTATGTGGACAGAGGGACCTGGGGGAGACCAGCCCATGCCCCGGGAGCTCATAGTCATCTGATTCGTGGCCAGAAGCCCACCTCCCTCTGTGGCCGGGAGTTGCCAGGGCAGTGCCACCCTGAGGAGGGCCAAGCAGGGGCGACCAGGGCTCGAGGTGGCCTCTCGTGCCCGGTCTTTCCCTCATTAAAGCGATGTCATTGAGGCGGGTCATGTGCTGGCTCTGGGCAGGTGGCAGGGGGCACGGAGCTTGGTGCGGGCCTGTCCGTGGTGGTGGGGAGGGTTTCCTGGGCTGTCCATCAGCTGCCGGTGCAGGAGGTGCCCACATGCCTGGTGGGGCTGCCCCAGGCCGGGGATGTCAAGGGCGCTAAGCCTGCAGCCACGGAGCAGGAGGGTGAGGGCACGCGGCCGCCTGTCAGGGCCCTGCAGGGTGAGGGGGTGTCCACCGCTGTGCGAGCCCCAAGCTCCTGCTCTCCCATGATTTTTCAAAGCCATACTATGACCAGTCCCCATAGTAAAAAAAAAAATGGGGCCCTGATGTAAAGTCTGTGACCCTCTTTTGCCTTTAAATAAACTTTTGGGCACAAGAGGCCCTCCCCTCAGACCGATTTGCTATGGCACAAACAAGGCATCACTTAGCAGGGGGGGCAGACACGAGCTGGCGGTGCCAGGACTGCACACCCACACGTGTGCACACATGGACGTGGGCAGGCATGGTGAGTCGACGCGGCGCGGCAGAGGGAGCTGGCACCGGATGCCCACATGGAGCCCCTCAGGGTCTCTGGAGAGCCCGTGTCCCCGCTGCCGGCACAGCCCTTGCCCTGCCGCGTCCCCTGGCTGCGCCCGTCCCTCACTGCCACAAGAGGGCGCTGGTGGCACGCTGGCTCCTCGGGGCAGGCGCCCCCTCCAGCCCTAAACCTGCCCGAGGGACCTGGTGCTGGGCTGGCCCGCTGCCCAAGGCTGTGTGGTTTGTGATCGGCCTCCCTCTGGTGGGTGCGGCCGGAGCCTCACGGGCAGGCTGCCCCTGCCTGGAGGGCCGAGGGGCTGGGCCCACAAGGCCCCCTGGCTGACCCGAGAAACCCCTGGGGGCTCCTGTGTCTGTCCTCTGAGCAGACATGGAAGATGGTGCCACGTGTCTGCCAGCCACCCAGTAACCTCTGGTTCTTAGGGTTGGTGGAAGGACAGTTAGAGGCAAGGGGGGGCCTTGCCCGCTCTCCCCCCTCCCATAACGGCCTCCCTCCTGTCCTCAACCCCCCAGAGGAAGTGATTGCACAGCACAGGGAGGCAGGGGCTCCTCGGGAAAGTCAGAAAAACCGCCTTTTCCTTTTGTGTAGAATAAGACAAAAAGTCTTGTAGGCAAAACAGGCATTTCCAGGAAAATGGGTCTGAACTAGCAGGGAACGGACAGTTTGTGAGAAGGGAGGTCAGGGCTGGCTCGGGGCTGCTAAGTGGACTGACTGCCCTGTACCCCGAGGCTGGGTGGCCACCAGTGAGAGCTATGGCCCCGCAATGGCCAATGTGGCTGAAAGGGAACCCACCAGGTCCCTCTGCGGGGTGGAGGGGGGTTAGCTCAGGAAAGTGCGCTGAAAATGACCATCAGCCCCACCCCCAGCCTGTCCTGAGCCGGCTCTGGACAGATCAGAGGTCAGGCTAGTGGGTCTAGATTCACAAGAGCCCCGCGGGCTTGTTGAGTGTGGACTCCTGGACCTACCCCCAGGTCCTGCTGGGGCCTGGGAACCTTCCTCGGGGACCCTGCTGCAGGCTGGTGTCCTGCTGGGCTGCGGGTTTCACACGGAACCCTGCCGGCCCCCCGGGATACTCCCACCATCGCAGTCAGGGCCCAGGAGTCCAGAGTGAACTCAGACCAGTCCCCTCGCTTTGTGAACTCATCCCCCACGCCCTGTGGGCCCTGGGTCACCCAGCCCAACCTTCCTCTGGGAGACAGAACCTGGGGACAGGACGCGCTTTCTCCAACAGCTGGCTCCCTGTGCAGGCGACCCCACAATGCTGCGTGGGCCTGGAGGGCAGGCAGATGGAGACCCAGTGTCCCTCCAGGACCCCAGGGGCACGTCTCAGCTGGGGGCTTATAACAGTGCAGACTGCTCCCCGGGCGAAATGGCCGGGGGTCTCCACGGTGGCCTGGGGACTCTGAGGAGACCTCTACAGCCCACCAGGCAGGGGCAGAGCGACCCGAGACCCGGGAGGATTAAGCTTCGGGCCTCTGCGGTATGCTCGGGGCTACAGGGTTTTGTAAACTTTGCAAAGCGAAGCCGTTCTTAACCACACGTGCTTGAGACTTGAGTCTCCTTCTGCCTTCGCCCGCCCCCTCCTGGTTGTGGGTGGGCGAGAGCCTGCAGACAGCTGGCCGGGGTCCCCAGGGGTCGAGGTGGGGTATCTGGAGGTCGGGTTTGGTGGGAGGTGTCCATGAGCATCAGACACAGGCAGCAGTGGCTTCCAGGAGGACCCCTGCAGCTCACCCTGTCCTGCTGGGACCATGTCCCCAGCCAGAAGCACGTGGGGCTTGGATGGGAAACAGCTGGCAACAGAGACGGCCGGACTGAGCACGGAGGCCTCCCCCAGACCAACCCTCACAGCCCAGGGAAGTGAAACTGCCTTTTCAAGGACCAGTATGAGAAAAAGTCCACTCAGCAGCTAGCAGAGAGCATCTTGTGCCACCAAGTCCTGTGCAGATGCCGTGGAGGAGCAGGGAGGTATGACACAGACAGCTTGCAAAGTGCCCTCGTGGAATTTCGTGATTATTTGTGTGATTGGCCAGCTTTTTAAGAGCTCTAATTTAAAATTGTTCTCTAAGTATTTATCTTCCTACTTTAGAATTCACAGTCTTATACGTATATGCATTTCTCCTGTAAGACGGTCCCCATCACCATCTAATGACACAGTGGCAGACCTCAAAACCCTGGCCCTGCCCTGCGCAGGCCCACACGGGACTCTGCTCTAGGACCTGTCACATTGCGGTCGCTTTTCAGGGAACATGTCCTAGCGCCCACCTGCTCGCTGCTCGTATGGGGACGCCGTGGTGGCTGGGTCCCCCAGTCGCTGCCTCGAGGCTACTCTGCTCTTCCGGCCTGTCCATTCAGCTCCCAGCAGTGTCGGCCTTGGTCTCACCAGGGACCTGTCTGGGCCTCGAGTGGCGTTCCCCTCTGGTCCCTGCACTGCTGTCACCAACAAGGAGATAAGATGTGGCAGCCAAGGGCCAAGGGCTCGATTGCAGCAGGAACTGGCGTTTTTTTCCCTGTGACGACAGCACCTGTGCTGCTTGGGCTGGACCTGCAGTTGGGAGGCACCTGAAGAAGAGGCCTCCCTGTCCTTGTGAGTCCCAAGAATGCGGGTGACACAAACCCCGTGGGGTGCGGGGCTCCCCTGAGCCCAGACAAGAAACATGCAGTGGACTTCTGCCCCGGAAAAGCCACAGCCTCAGTGATCGCCTGCTTCTGCCTCAGGTGACTTGAGGCTTCTCTGTACCCCAGAACACAGGTGTCCAGCAGAGGGAGCGTGGAGGTGAGCGAGGACCTCGCTTGTCCTGGGTGGGCAGCTCCACCTGCGGGTGGAGGGACAAGTCTGGACAGCAGAGTCCCAGAAACGGTGACAGGCACCTGAAGGACCCTCTCCGGGCCCTCCCTGTATCAGACTTGCCCCAGGGATGGCAGAGGCCTGGGTCCACTCTCCAGCCCATGTGCCCTGCACTGCACCATCGTTGCGTTTCTGTGGGGGCAGAACTGGGGTCTCTGAGGCTGGGGGCTTTGCCCCAGGGGTGCACTAGGCAGCAGGTGCTCCAGACTCCGCCCCCCACCAAGGACTGTCCTGTTTCCACACAGTCCTGTCCCTCAGGGTGACAGGCGACGTGGAGAGAACCACGCAGACAGTCCCCTGTGGTGGACGGCCCCTCTGCAGCCAGGGGGGCCTGTGGACACATTCCAGAATGGTTAAAACCAAAGGAAACAGCATTTGGTTAAAACTGACCCATGAAGCAGGCTCGTCTTTGCTAACACTCAGCCGCAGGCCCCCACGGCGGGGGAACATGGGGGAGGATGTGACACGGGCTGAGCCTGCACTGGCCGTTGAGTCCACTCGCTAACAACTGCTCGTTTCAGTGGAAGGCCCAGGACGTGAAGGTGCACTGAGCTCCTTGTCCAGGTTCCCTGAGCCACATTCTGTCCGCAGATCCCCAAGGCTGGAGCCCGGGGTCCCACCACGTGTCACGCGTCCTGCCCAGCTCTGAGATGGTGGCTTGGGCAGCGGGCAGCACAGACAGTGGGTGACATGCGGAGGAGGATAATTACAGACGTCTGCTGTCGGGGGCGTCTGCCTGTCCGGCACCTCCCAGTGGCCTCTCTGCAGAGGACATGGGCTGAAGGGCTGCCGGATGTGCTGGGACAACAGCCGCCACGAGGCCCAAGTCTGGTTCCAGGACCTGCTCAGAGCAGGGACCTTCCCAGACGAGGGAGCCGTGAGGACCCGCCCGGCGGACGGAGGCTGCTGATGTCCTCTCCCTTCTGGGGCCCCTGCTTGTGCTCCGGCTTCTGCCATTGTTTATGGCCGTTCCCTTGGAAACCATAAGGCTTATCAAGTCCAAAGTCAATTTATTTTAAGGGTACAGATATTACATACAGAGTAATGGCAGGAAACACATGTTAAGGGAGAAAAGCTGCCCCTCCATCACCGGCGTTTCCGGGGGACTGGGTGGCCCCGCTGTACTTGCCGGGCGCGCGCCCCAAACCCCAGGCTCTGCAGCGTCTCAGCCACATGCTTCTGGCAGGGGGACACGCACAGAATCACCAGCAACTTTGCATCGCCTCCTTTAAAAAAAGAAGTAACAGCATGCACTTGGATGAATTTCAAGGAAGAAAAGGCATCTCTGGAGTACGGGGCCCAAGCGGTGCCCCTTCAGAGCTGCGCTGGCTGCAGGGCTCAGGTGCCCTCCCCTGCCAGCCTGGGGTTAGGAGATGTCACAGTGCCTGAAGGGCGCCTGCTCAGGTCGGGGTTCCCCTGTCAAGCGCTCCCTCCTGCAGGCCAGGGGAGGGGTACCCAGGGCTTCCCCCCAGGGGATTGGCCTCTTCCTTTGCTTTATGGACCAAGGGCTGGGCGGGAGGAGGAGGGGGTCTGAGAGGAGGGCGCCTGCGCCTGGACGCTTCGACCCTGTGCTACCCCAGATGAGCTGCCGCGCAGCACAGGCACCCCTCTACCCCATGTTTCTGTCCCCTCCTCCTGCGCTTGCCTGTGGCAGGAGCTGGCTGTACACACACTGCTAGGAAAGTTGAGGACAGACAACTGACCCGAGAGCCAGCAGGTCCCCGCAGGAGGTGTGGCTGGGAGGAGCCTGCTTCCCACAGGAGCAGGGGACAGCGGCTGACGCCCCTGGGGGCGCGTACTGGGGGACACCAGTTACCGAGCGCATCCTGCAGCACGTGGGTGAGCTTGCTGTTCCTGTAGGGAATGTGGCCTCGGCGCTCCGAAAGGGCCCCCAGGACGTCTGCGAGGGCGGCCAGGCTCCGGTTTATAAAGGACGTCTCCCTCAGGGCTGACCCTGTCACTCCAGACACACCTGCGACAGCCAGAGAGACCAGCCACACACAGTGAGGATTTGACCAAACTCTTGGGAGGCCTCAAGATATGACTCGGAGAGCAAAATGGAAACCTCGGGGACAGTGGCTTTGGACCACTCGGGAGGCGGAGCTGGGGGACACTTCATCACGTTACCGTCCTCCTCTGACAAGCTACACGGCCCCCAACAGGAGACACACTTACTGGGAACGGACCGCCTTCCACCTTCCTTTTTGGACTGGCCCGTACACTTGCAGTGGTAAGACACCAATCCATTAAGACGTAACAGGGGGTCAAAATCATGTGCAGAGGGGGACCCCGTCTTAGGACCCGTGGTGGCCTGTTCACGGCCTGGCTCTGTCAGGACCCCACACCGCAGCTCACCGTCACTCACTCACCAGCACACTCGCTGCCCGCCAGGTCCACCAGCTGCAGCTTGGCGTGGACCTGCTCTGTGTGCCCAGCGGTGCCGCCAGGCGGGGCCCCCGGGGACCCACTTGAGGCTCTGGGGGAAGCGTGCCGCCTCCTCCCTGCCACAGGCTGCTGGGGCCAGGGGCGGCCGGGCTCTGTGAGCAGTGATGGATCTGACCCTTGCTCTGCTGCAAGAAGAATGATAATAGTTATTCCAGAAGTTTCCTTTTGCCTCCCTCCGTGCTGACGCCTCCTGAATGTCGGCCCAAAGGGCCACACCTCACACACACACAGGGACCGGCTGCATGACTTCCTCCTAAACCTGGACAAGGACGGGGCCGTGTGACAGTGACTGGCTGTTCCGGTAAAATATGAAACAACAGGAAGAAAAAGGCACGTCCACCATGGAAAGCTGAACTACTGCCTAACCGGTCCCAAAATCCAATCAGATTTAGAAAGATTTGGTAATGGCATTCATTAAAACCTCAGTCAGAAAACTCTGTTCAGCTTCATAGAAATAAATCCTACAATTTCAGTTGGATAACCCTCCACAAAGAATCCTGGTATAGTGTTCATGTTGATGTATATGTTAGTTTCGTCATGTGCTTTTTCTAAATAGACTGCTTACAGATTTTGTTTAAACCTAAATAGTGTATACTCACTGTGGAAGGCATAGTATAAAACACACATACGTAAATTTTTAAAAAGAACATAAAAGCCACGCTGGTCCCCGTGACTGTAAGTGGGGCGTGGAGGTGGGTCAGCGCTGCCCAGGCCCCCAGGACTAGTCAGGGCGAGTTCTGGGCTGTGTGTCGCCGTCACCTCTGCTCCCCTGGCAGGGCCACCTTGACTTCCTGGTGACAAGATGGGTCAGGAGCATCCAACCCTCACTGGCCTGTGACGGAGAGAGAACTCACCTTTGTTGTGTTAAGTTGCTAGGACGGCTTGTTAGAGCACAGGAAGTCGGCCCCAGACCCGCCCTCCTCGAGTGTGGGCTCCACAGGTGACCCAGACCCTCTGCCCGCCTGGCGCCCGGCCCTGTGGACACGATGGCGAGGTGGTGTCCTGCAGCTTGTGTTCCCATAGGCCCTGCAGGTGGCCCTGTGGCACTGCCCTGGCTTTGATGACCGCGCGTGCACTGCCGGTCTGTTAAACTGGCTTAATTTTACATACTGGTTTGTAACCTTTTTCTAAACTGAAATCACACTTACAGTTTCATTCACGGTGACTGCATCATGTTCCTAGGTACAAACATGCCCTAGTTTCTTCCTGTGTTGTATCTTATATCACAAAGGGCTGTCCTGCCTCCCACCCCCAATGTCCCTTTCTTCTCAGCCCTGGAGCCCAGGGGCCTCCTGGGTTTGGGTCCCAGACCCTCCACAGATGAGGCTGCCATTCCCGCTCTCGGGGCTGCGTGAAGCCCCAGGTCCTGAGGGTGCTGCGTCCCCTTCTTATGTGATTTCTATTGTGTGCCGCTGACCGGGCACGAATGGCCACTCACCGGAGCTGTCCCAGGCGGGGGTTGTGGTTAGAGCCACCGTTATTATCAGGTGAGACCGAGAAGAATGTGCATGTGCTGACGTGGCACGCATAGCCCTGAGCTGCAGACCTGCACCAACAAGCATCATGCACTCCTGGGCGCTGCGGACAGACCTGCAGATGGGGACACGTGTCAGAGCCGGAGGGTCCTGGTGTGCGGCGCGGGCCGGCCGGCCTCCCAGTCAGCTGCTAACACTCTGGGGCTAATGGCAGCCTCTTCTGTGACCTGTGCTCCTGTTTCAAGACAGGAGCAAATCTTACATAAAACATAAAAAAGCCCACTTTCCACTTTTATTGGCCTACTGTCTTTCTAAGTGCTTTCCCCTGAAATAATCAACTGTTTGGGAACCAAGTCAGAGGTCCCCCACCTTTTCAGCATTTATTTATCAGACATGCAAGGACCCCAAGATTTTAAGGATTTTGTCCATCAAATCAAATGTATGAAATAAGAGTTAATTTCTGATATGACAGCTAATCAGAACTTTTGAGCTGCAGGAGGTTTTTTGATCAGAGTCTATTAGTCAGAAGCTGAAAGTCCAGTTCCTTGTCACACGTGTTCTGGTAAATGTGATCCTTCAGGCCTTTCTAAATGTTAAACACAGCTGGCAGACCCCCTCCCCCCTCTTAACTCTGAGACCCCAGGACCGGCCGCCCCGCCCGACCCTCATGGGTGAGGGTGACGTCACTGCACCCTCCTCGGTGCTGTCATCCAGGTGAGTCCGCTGGGGGCAAACCAGACACACATGTGGACCCGGGGACACGGCCTCGGGAACATGTTTCATTAACACGAGGAGCCTTGCTGCTTCACAGGATGACACATTAATGCACCCGGTGGCACTGGCACTCACGGTGGCACTCAGGGACAGCAGCGCCTGAGTGGCCTCGGGCAACTTACTTCACTTCTCTGAGCCCATCGCTTATCTGTAGTGTGGAGATAACACCTCACCTCTTAATGAAGATATTTTAAAAGACGAATGGATTAAGTAATTTGTTCTGATTGTGATTTTAAAAGACAATTCTGAAGCAAACTGAAAGTGGAGCGGCCCACACTGAGCGCCACAGCAACACTCAGTGAACCGCTTCCTTGAGAAAAGGGCAGACGCGCCCACGGGTCCTCGTGGCGTCGCGGTCCCCAGGTGCGCGACCCCTGCAGGCGGGGTGCTGGTGAAGTACTCACGTGCAGGTCAGCGGGGACACCTCCTTCCTGCCCTCCTTGGTGGTCAGCACTTCGCACTTGACCCCAGGCGTCGCCGTGCACGTGTCCTCAGCCAGGAGGTCAAAAATGTCGTCGTTATAAACTTCCACGATGGAGACCTCAACCTTTGCCCTCCTTGACGGGTTTTCTGAAATAAGCCTGGGGGGTGGGGTGGGGGTGGGGGACACAAGAGACCAAACTGTCAGAGGGACGTAGAAAACCCGTGAACACAGTGGTGACAGCATGACTTCCGACATGACACGATCACTGAGCAAATGCGCGTCCGTGACACGGCCATGACTTCCCACCATCGGGGTCACGCAGGCAGGAGGGGACCTCCTTGAGGGTAGACGACTGTCTTGGGAACACAGTCAGGCCACCTGAGGTACATCTGGGTCAACTAGCTGAGCCGCCGGCGCCCTCAGAGCCCCTGCACGCGGCAGGAAGGACACACGGCCTTGCTCAGGACGAGCACGCCCGGTGTCCTGGGAACCACGCCGAGGCCCGAAGCCCGAAGCAAGCAGCGGAGGCGCCAGGACCGTCGCCACGTTTCCGGGACGCGCGTCTTCACTTTAAAACTTGCCCGTTTCAGGGAAGCTCGCGCCCCGAGCTCTCCCCTTGCGCCGCCCATCCGGTGCCTCCGCGGCGCCCTGCCCACGACCTCCCTGACGCCCACCCGGGCTCCCGAAAACAACCACATCTCTTATTTTGGTTTGTCTTTTGAAGTGCTATGTGCTGACTTTAGAAAAGTTTAAAAATAAAGCTACTGCGCACTTAGAGAAAAACCTCACAGCCCCAGGCCAAGTGGGGGACGGCCACAAGCTGGGCTTCTCCGGCCTCCCTGCCCCCTGCAGCCCCTCCAGCCCCTGCTCTGTCCGTCCGTCCTCTTCCCTTGGACTCCCCTCCCCCACCAAGCACCGCGGCCCATGCGATTCTGCCCCGTGTGTTTTTCTTGTCCACAAAGATGCCCGAGAGCCGGGCTGGGAGCCCAGCGTGGCAGACGCTATTTGTACTTGAGACAGTGTGGCCTGGGTGTGTCCACTGCTGGACTGAGGTTTCATCAGGGCCCACAGAGAGCTGTGAACAAAATGAGCCATCGACGTCTTCTAACGAGAAGCAATTAAGAAAATTAAAAAGTCTAAAATGGCAGAAAAAAATAAATCAAATTCTCTGGTAAAATAAATGACTGGCAATGAGTTCAGATTTGCCTGGTTCTCAGCGCTGGGGTTTGCTGGGAACACCCCGAGGGCAGTGACGGAAAGTGGAAAACCCAGCCAGCCATTTAGAGTGTCCGCCCCACTCCTGCACTAGGAAAGGACGCAGGCAGAGAGACCTCAGCACTGACCGCACCCCTCCACGCGACAGCTGTCTTTGTGTCACAGGACCTGAACTAAAAATTTCTTATCTACACAACAGCAAGGAGGTCATTTGAAAGATTCTCTTGCATTAAATTAAGAACCTGTTTGTTTCGTGCGTTGGCTTATTTGTCCCACAGGCCTTGACTCACTCGTTGGCTAGATTCTGCCAACCACGCTAAAAACTTGTCTTCAGCCTGCACCCTGAAGAAGCAAAGTGTTCAGAATGCAAGATACACACAGGTACACTACGGCGTGTCGCATGGCATCACACACGTCAGTTCGTCACGCTGCCCACCGCTCCCCCTCCCTGCACAGCTGTTGTGTTTCTTTGCTCATTGTCACCCGCCACTGCCACCCGAGGTACCTGAAGAGCTCCTCAGCCGCTCTGGGGACCAGTCCCAAGTCACTGTGACAGTCTGGGGGCAGGACAGGCCGCACCTCAGAACGTGGGCCCAGCATGGTGTAGCTTTTGCCGCTCCCCGTCTGTCCGTAGGCCATGATGCAAACGTTGTACCTGGAATTCCCGGCGCACGTTAGTGCAGCCAGACACACTGGTCTGGCCATCCCTGCATCTGAGAAAGACGTCCCCTGCATGAAAAGCTTGCCTGCTTTTCACTGTGTCCCTCTGTGACGCGTTCCTTCTAAACTAGGCTTTTGTGTGACAACGACTGCTTTGTGCTAAGCCCGCCCTGTTGCTGCTGGGTTACACAGTGGATAAAACCATGTTCACAGCAACGTCTCAGACAACCATTTCTCCTCGGTGTCTTGGCATTCCCGGAGGCAGATGGCGGCGGGTCCCGGCCGCCGCTCACAGCCCACACGCCAGCCTGGACCCCTTGGCACCATTCCTTCCAAGTTCAATGCAGTGGTGGCTGCCGGGCTCACCGTGAGGCCTACAAAAGGACGAAAGTCTGCGTATTTTCTACCAATGTCCTAAAAATGTCTTCCCCGCTGCAGATATGACTGCTAGCGTTGCTGACAACAGTTACACCAAGATTGCACCGTATCTTACATTTCGTTTTCCCAAGGGACCTGGGTTTTCATGTTGTCGTCACCAGAAGGGGCGATGCCTTTGTGACAGGCTGGCCTGGTCCCCTGCAGCCATGTGCTCTGGGTTATTTCACAAAAGACAAGGACTATGGATGGACCCCTAAATTTTCTTCCAGTTGTGTTATTAGCCCAAAGTGTCCATTGGTAGATTGAAATATTTGAAGGAACAGTTGAAATAAGTTTATAAATTTATCTTCCTGGCCATGGAAGGGCAGGTGAGCCTGGCCCACTGTCCCCGCCAACTCCTGTCCCCACCAGCGTCACCTGGGGAGGTGAAAAGGCCCCCAGGCACCCACATCTGCTGCACCTGCCCTGAGGAGGTGGATGCGAGTTTCTGAGTGGGGGGCAGACCCCTGACTGCGGCAGGTACGTCGGCTCCTCAAAGGACCTTTCTCGCGGTGTAGGGATGTGGAGAGAACAGCAGCAGCTCGGGACTTAAAATGATGGCATCTGTTTCATATTTGTAACAGAAAGGCAGTTCTGGCAAAGATCATTCTAACCACTATGGCTTTTTTTACTTTTGGAATCTGCTTACTTAAAAGACGCCAAAAAAAAAAAAAAACCCCGATAAAAAAACAAACCCTGCCTCTTCTGCCATTTTCAGTGGAGACCTTTTTGGGATTGACATAAAAATCCGAAGGAAGAGTCGAAGCAGAAACCTGACAGCGTGGGCGGTGGGTGGTGTGCCTCAGAGACACGCGGGCGGTCGGTCCCCGCCGCCGTGACCTGCCACCGCGCTGCGCTTTGGCCCCTGTGCTGTTCAGACGCTGGAGCGCTCCGGCTGGAAAACAACGCGTGGCCGCCCTTTCCGTCTTGTTGAAGTTGGCAGCACAGCAGCCTTTCTGGGCAGGCCCAGGTCTGTCCCCTCCAGGCCGTCTGTGGGCCCTTCCTCCAAGTCGGAGTCTCCAAAACGCCCTGAGCGGGCAGTCTGGGCGCAGCGCGTCACTGCCAAAGAAGCCCCTCTGTCCCTGCCTTTGACACCAGCAGTGTTTTCCACGGGTGGAGGGCTTACTCCCAAAGGTACCCGTCCCTCAATCTAATGTGAACATTCTTATCAGACTCTTAGAAAATTCCGGGATGTACAAAATCCTGGAGAGAAGAAAGGCAGCCGTCAGCCCACCTGAAGCCCGCACGCGCGTAGCATCATTTGGGCCGAGGTGCATGTGCCCACTCAGCAGTCACCCTCAGTGGTGTCCAGCAGGCAGGCCTGCCCCCCTCGTGGACGCAGTGAGCCAGCACTGGCCGTGGGTTTGCACTGCACGCACCTCACGTGCGGAGACGCCAACGTTACGCTCTCCTCCCCAGCATGAGCCAGCCCCACGCTCGTGTGCCTGGAACTGGGGTAACTGGCCTGAAACGGTTTAGCTCACCCGTCTAAGAGAGACGTCAGCAGGGGACGCACATCTCCAAACACCTCTCTCTGGGGGTCGGCCGGCCTGTAAACCCTGAGAGCACAGGGAAAGGATGCATTAGAAGGAAAACAGGTCCATGCACCCACACCCCGAAACCCCCGCCGGGAAGCAACATCCCCCAGAACTTCCCATACCAGCCCCCAACTCAGCCAACGTTCACAGTTTTCATCAATGAAAGATGAATTTTATTACTTTTCAGGTTAACAGAGGTTCAGGAAGAGTGCGATTCATTTCCTGCTATAAAAATGTAAGAAGCCGGGGCAAAGATAAATGCTTGCAAAGCAGAAAAAAGTAAGCAAACAAGAAATTTAAAAAGGAAGGGTACCACTTAATTGCCGCGTAACTAAACTAGCTCCACGTAAGTGGGTCCAACAGCAATGCAAAGATCATACTGCAGGCAATATGCAATATTTAATTTTGCTCAAGCTCCTGAAAACACTGCTTTCTTAGGCCTCATCAGTGGAGCAGAACGGTAATGGCGTAACGGGGCTGGGCTGCCCGCTGTGAAAAGGGGAGTCATGTGGCTCCGTGGCTACCAGCAGGAAGGGGTAAAGCTAGGCAGGGTGTTAACTCCAAGAGGTGCAGCCCATGGCACAATCTGGAACACAAGCGAGTGACCTGACGGCCAAACGTGTCACACAGACACCGGTGGTTGCTCGTATGACAATCACATGCGCTTTGATTTTGAGCTTAGTTCCCTGAAACACAGGTTTTTATTTAGCTGGAACCGAATTTTTCTCTTCTTTCATTTTCAAAATGTGTGACGGGGCCCGTGGAGCCGTGTCACCTCTAGAGGCAGGACGAGCTTCTAATGTCAGAGGCCCTGCTCACAGTAGGGTGCTCACTGTGCGTGACGACGAGGCCACGGAGAGCACGTGACATGATGCCGAGCTCTGAAATACGTTTTTTAACTCCTCATCCCACCCCCTGCCAAATCTCCAACCACAAAAGCAGACAGAACTGGGAGTGAGCGGGAGGCACCGTGCTGCCCCCCAGGACCCTGGCGCTGACCCCCACAGCCTTTCCATGCCGACCTCATCTCCATGTCATCTGTGACCATTTCAGAATGTGTCTCCAGAGGGCGGTGACTCTTTTAAAAACCGTAACATCACTAGTATCCTTTGCTCCTTTGCAGTTAGTCAAAATGATGGGATAAACTGTACACTTTATTAATAAAATCTTAACGCGGCCTTTATACCTGTGTAACTCTGCTTCACACGTCACCTTGAAACGCACTTACCTTTCAAAAGTAAATGTCTTATTGATTGGAGGGTGACCAGGCCGACTGCACTTCACCTGGACAGTTTCCTAGTAGAAAAGGGTGAACAAAGTGCCAGGTGCCAGGGCTGCGGCCACAGCATGGCACAGAGGCTGGCAGAGCACAGCCCGGGCACACCCAGTCTGTCCCCCGCTGAACAGTCCCTGGAACACGGCCTCGCCCGGCTCACAGGCGTCTGCGGCTGCGTTTGCTCAGCCGCATGGTGAGAAGCGGAGGCAGAGGCCGCGTGGCCTCAGAGCCTGCCGTGCTGGCTCTGGCCCTTGGGAAGGGTTTGCCAGCCTGTGACACAGGGACACATGCTAAAGGGCACCTGCCAGGTCACACGAGGTGTGCGACCTTCAAAGGCTAAAGAAGTCACAGCTCATTGCTATGACTCAGCTGTACCTGGTAGAACTAAAAGGTTTCCTTTCTAAACACGTCAACACCTGACCTTGCTAAACTATTTTCCTCAGTGACGGCCTGTGTGGAGAGAAGCAATTTTCAGCACGAGATACAGCATTCGCTTAGCCTCACTTAAGCAAAGGAAAAAAATAAATCTTTTGGCTTGGTTCTGATTCTAAAACAAAATGAAAATTCATGAAAAAACAGGGGTACAGGAAGAATTAGTAAAAAAAAAAAACAAAACCCAACAATTTCAGTGGTGAACAGCACACAGATCTTTGTTTTTTCCACAGCGCTCGAGGGTGGTACAAGATGCCGGCTCATCTCTCACATATGCACAGACATCTGCAGACGTGAACACGTGTCCAAAGAGTGGCCCGTTCAGGTACGGGAGCCAACAGCTTTTGCTCTAGAGGTGGTTGTTGTTTGAGCTTGGTCCTGGGCTCCATGCTAAGGTCTCTGGCATGAAATGCTGATGTCACGGAGAGCAGACCTGTGCTGTCCTCACAATCAGAGCTGAAATGCTGTGCATTTGGGCAGGCAGGTCCCTAAAGTTGCTGCTGTCAGCCTGGGCAGCAGCTCAACTGCTGGCTGAGCCTCGACTGTCCCTGAAGCGTCTGCCCCCCTCAGCCATCCTCTCCCCCCGTTCCCCACCCCCCCACCTCCCGTACTTGCGCTGCTGCTGTGGGATTTCTTCCTCTGCTGCCCAGTGGAGGGAAATGGCCCCCGACCAGCCCCCAGCTGTCCCATGCCCTTCCTGTCTGCTCTCTATGCCTTAGAAATGTTTCCAAAATGCAAATTAGACAAGGGAGTGGGTGATGTCACTGAAAGCAAAGAGAGATGGTTAAGAAGCAGTGAGTGAGTGACGGCGAACGTCAGTGTTGCCGCGAGGTCGCTGAGTCCGCACTTGAAGCTACTGATTGGGTTTGGGAGACACTAAGAGGTCCTCTGCTTCTATAACGAAAAGCTGCCGTGGGATGGATGGGGGTGGAGACCAGGACACAGTGACTGCGACAGCGCAGGAGATGCCAGGTCAGTGAGAGGGGCCTCCGAGCCTGTCACACCTGCTGCTGCCAAGCTACCCTCAACTCACCGACATATGAAGGAAGACCTGTGTGTGACTGGGCCTCACGGCTTCCAAGGGAGAAGCTTATTCTCAGGGGAGTCAGTAATCAAGGCTTCATTTCTCTACTAGAATCCTTGAGCACCTACTGTGTGCCAGAAACTGTTTCAGGAGATGTACATTCTGCTATAGTGCTAGCAATGTCATTATATAATAACAGCAATGTCCTCTGTGGCAGCAGGGGCTCTAAACCCTGTTCACCCCCAAACTCTGAAATAAGATGAAGGAACAAAAGCTCAGACACTCGCCAGGACTCGGGGCGCTGGCCTCGTCTGTGGGCAGAGCCCCAGGCTCCTGGCTCCCAGCCCCGGACAGTCTGACCACAGCCTCGGTCCCCTGCCCCCTCCCGATGGCCTATTTTCATCTTCCTGTTGCCTGGTTGTGGTGGAAGTCCTTTACAATTATGCCAAAATGTAACCCTAGCGCCCCTGGAGCATAGCACAGGAACACACACCCCACAGAGTTGTACTGATGTCTTCAAATGCCTACGTTTTAGCCATAAAGAAAAACAAATGAAAAAGGCTAAGTTTACAGGGTCTCACCCCAAAGCTCCAGGGACATCATAGCAGGAACGTGAAAAGCCATAAAAACAAGCCGGAACCCAGAAGCTCCCCAGGGCCACGCAGAATGCCACCCCACGGTGTGGTCACTGCGTTTAAAGAACATCGGGAATGACGCCAAGAGCAAACTTGCATTTTCCCAAACACAGCCCGAGTGTTCTTTCCCGCCCGTCCCGGCGCCCTGCTCACACACACAGCTCTGCTTCTCACAGGTGAGCCGCTCGCCTTGGGTGTCCAGCACCATGTCCTCATGTCCAAGCCTTCAGGCTTCCTGATGAACGGCAAAACACGAGGCACTAGGGAAGCGTCGGAGGGACCTGATATCTGGAGGAATCCAGGGTCCTCGCTAAAATTTGAGGTGAGCAGCTGAGACGGGGACACGGGACTTGAAGAAGCTCCCACTGGCTTCAGTGAGGACACTATTGCAATGGACGAGAGCCTATGGCTTTGCTTAAACCCACGAATGCATAACGACCCTTAAAGAAAACATCACAGGAGGCCTCCACAGGAAGCCAGTGCTCCGCTGTTCTCCAAGTTCTCTAGAACTAGCTTGAAAGTATCTGCGAATTATGAGTCCGCTAAGAGCTAACGTGCGAGTCTCATCTCTGCCATCTGTAAAAGGGGCTGGTGGCACAGTCTGCTCCCAAAGGTACCTAATGGTTACATCATCCGCTGAGTCCACGGTTCTGAAATTTGGAGGACAGTGTCTTCCCAGTGACAAGGACCAGGGCACGAGGTGGGGCTGTCCCACTAGGGGCGAGTTCAAAAACAAAAGGAGCAGCTTTGAACTTGCCAGAGGAAGAAAGGTGTGGGCTGCCCCGTGGCAGGTTCAGGGTCTCCCAGAGCTCGGGCTGCACAGGCGAGGCCCTCGGCCATGGAGCCTGCCTGGAATGGGCTTCCCGGGAGGCTACACTTCAGAATGTGCGTGGAACCCTCCAAACCAGCTCCTGGGAAAATGGTGGAGGAGTTACTCACGAAACAAGTGCACATTAGGACATTTTACTGTAGTAAAGAACACATGCTCTTAGAGGCAGAAGAGGGTCATTTTCCAAAGCAAATGCCTGTAAAGCAGCCCACCCCACGTGTGGGCCGAGCACAGCACAGGACATGTGGCCAGAAGGAACAGGGGTGTCCTGTCCTGGAACAGACGTGACGAGGGACAAACTGCTCTGTCAACAGATTTAAAGACATGAAAGAGCCGAGCAGTAGGAGAAGAAAAACATAAAATATACACAGTCAGTCTGAAGTCCACTGTGGGGAACTGAAACACAATTTCTTCCTTAAATCTTTAGAACTCCGTCAAAAAAATCCAAAAGTCTTTCTCTCGCCGTGAGCCTGTAAAAGTCTCACTTGGTATCATAGTCATTCTTAATCCTTCAAAATGGGCTCGTAGGTAAGAAACTAAATCTTGATTCTAGAAAAGCCCCTTTTAGACCCAGAATTTCACACCAGGAAAGAGCGAATGTTCAACAGGCCCCGTGCAGCCGAGTGACATGACCAAGGTCACACACTGAGCCTGTGCCTCGGGTCTCCCGATCCCATCACGTCCTATGTGCCCAGCCTGGGCAAAAAACGCCTGTGCTGTGGCACAAAGAGACGTGTGTGTGTCACCTGTTGACTTGCTCATGTGACAAACGTGACAAGTATGGAGTGACGGCGTGGGTCTCACGATGAACAGAAGGGACGCCAGCCTGCCGGGTGCAGCCTGGTGGAGCAGGCAGATTTCACACACAAGCTGACGAAGGAATGGATTAACCACCACCACGGGACTTGAAGAAAAGTGTAGGGTCAGTGAGACCACACAAGACAGCGGTCTAACTTAGGGACATCAAGGGTGGCCTTTCTGAGGCCGTGACCTCTGCATTGAGAGCGGAGGGCGAGCAGGTGGACAGAGGGAACGGCATGTGCTACGTCCTGTCACGTTCCAGGCCGATGGAGCCGGGGACCCTGCATGAAGGGGCCAGAGGGACCGGAGAAGCAGAGCCTGGACACACGGGCTCTCAGTGTCTCTTCCTCTGGACCCATTGAAGGGTTTTAAGCTGGGAGGTGACCTCATCACAGTGTTTTCAACGCCGGCTCCCAGCTGCGGAGTGGATGGGACGCAGGCAGGTTTGGGAGAAAGAAGGTCAGTTCGGAGGCCACGCATCATCCAAGATGTGCACGGCCTGGACTGCAGTGTGACGAAGATGGAGTAAATGAGACCCAAGGAAGCTTTCTCCTGCAGAACGGACAGCTCGTGATGACGGGCTAAGTTGAGGAGCTGACTGACTCCCAGCTCCTGGCCCCAGAAGCAAGGCAGACAGACTGGTCACTTGTTGAGGTGGGGGAACAGGACGAGTGAACCCGAAGGGGAAACCAGAAATTCCGTTTGGGGTGTTGAAGTCTGAGATCCGTACAAGCCATCCCCAAAAGCCCACTAGGCAGCTGGACGTACGGATTTGAAAAGAGGGCACGTGGCAGCCGCGTCCCCCACACAGCCGGGCCCTGCAGGGGCGGCTCGACGCGCCTTCTGTGCCAGCCAGGTGCTCACCCTGGGTGCCAGCGTCCTGGCCGTGCTCAGGGCCAGCTGAGCCTGCGTGAACGAACAAGGAATTTGCTCAGGGCCACTTGGACCTTGAAAATTTTGTGTCAGGTTTGCCAAATCCATCAATCTTTGTCAAGTACCTCTCTAAACATAGTTTTGACCTCGATTATCTTTGCGTAAGAATCACTGGATCCATAGGCTTGCTCAGCCACATTCGGAAACTCCAGTCAGTAACTCAGACTGAACAGCGTAAGAAGACTGAAAACTCAGGGAGAACCGCCGGCCGCCCGGTGGCTCAGCACAGACAGAGATCTGATCCTCCTCATCTGATGACCAAACAAGCAGCAGTGAATTAAATGAGAAATGCCAGTAAACAGCCCTAAGACAGCAAGAGCGTGGGCAGTTGCCAGACTCTCCCTCCGAGATTGGTTTTATTTATAGGTTGAACTCAAAACTATTAAATGTTGATTTAGACGGCAAATTGTAATGAAGTGCCGTGTTACGCATCCAATACAAACTCAAATCCCTTTAGACTTCGGAAATGGAAACAGGGTTTGGAAGCCAGGAATCACAGTGTTGCAGCATGGACCCTTGCTTTTTCAGCAGATTTACTGATATGAAGTCCTTTAACAAACAGGTCTATTCCATTAAGAAATAACTTGGATTCTGCTGATTTTTGAAAACATCATCCAAAATGTCCCAATCCAAAAATTTTTTACCTTCTCTCAATGAGTAAAACATTTTTTAAAAGCTCTCAAACTTCTGAATTTGAAGAGTCAGTAGAAGTTCGAGGAGGACCAGAGAGGACTGTCGAGAGGATAGATAGAGGAACAAACACTAAATAACAACAACAAGCCTCCAGCGTGGCGGGACCGGGCCTCCGGCTCAGGACACCTTCCCACCCACAGTCTCTGAAGGCGACCAGTAAGCCCACACAGCTGGGGAAGGTTAGGAAAGGCAGGTGCATAACCAGAAACCCTCAGCGGTCTTCACCATGAAAGGAAGGGATCAACAAGACGTCTGGAGGGCGCCTTTTAACTCAGATTCCTAATAATGAAGATTTAATTGGTCGCCTTTTGCTCGACTCAGGAATACTTGTGCTTAAGACAACATACAATACACCAAATGAAGGAAGAAAAATGCTCAAAAACAAGGAATTGTAAAGTGCTCATTTCCAGAGACTTTGTCAAGGAATTTTTTTTTTTAAGATTTTCTTGGGGAATTGGGAAAAGAGAACAGACAAGTTGCTGTCCTTTTGTTCTTCAGTCTAGTTGTGGAGGACGTTGCTTCACTGGCCCATGTTGGTATTATCATTGTGCTCTTCCCGGGTGAGGCACATCAGTCGCTGACCTCTGGACAGCCACTCATAGCAGCTATTGGCAGCTCACACGGCTGCCGGCCGCTCATGCTGGCTGCCAGCCACACACGGTAGCCCATGGCAACCCACTGCAGCCACACTGCAGCCTATGCCATTGCTGGCGACTCACGGCGACTCAGCACAGCTCCAGGTCGAGCTGTTGTTCACCATCTTAGCTGTAGAGGGCGCAGCATCACTGGCCCTCATGTGGGATCGAACCGGGGCCCTGCTGCTCAGAGCTGGCGTTCCCAAGCCAACTCTTAACCAATGCACCACTCGGCCGGCCCTGTCAAGGAATTTTTTAAATACAGCTACAACCATTTCCTTGGCTTCTTTGTAAAAAATAAAGCCATCACTGCATCAACTGGAACTACTTTAAGGAGAGTTGCTGCAGTTTATGACATGTAAACATAACAAGGCCGAATCAGGCAACAGGCGTGCAGGAAAGAGGAACAGACTTACATGATCAATACGAGATAAAAACATCTTCCAAAATGTCACTGTAATCGAGAATGCCGGGACTTCCATGTTAAATTCAAAATGATCCATATTACCTAAAAATTCATCATCCCAGACGCCCCCCACCTTCATTTTGTGGTAGTCACACCAAGCCAGAGTGAAACAGAAGCCAGCACATAGTAAACTGTCACCTATGGAGACTTTCAAACATGCACAGAAATGGAGGCAACAGCTGAAGGCACTCTCCTGCCGCTTCTCCGACGCCCAGCCGCACTTGTTCTATAAACACTCCTGCTCAACCCAACTCCCATCTCTCTGGTAGAGTTTAAATTGCGTATCAGACAACACATCCTCTGATTTCAGTCTGTATTTAACTGACAAGGACTTTCTGGGAAGATCGCGACCATGCCATTACGAATCTCACGTTATGAAGTTAATATTCTCGTCTCCCTGGTTGTCCCCAGCATGTCTGTACAGTGGCTGGTTCCTGTCAGGCCCCGCACACGGCCCCGCGGCTGCGGTCCTGGGCCTCCCACACCTCTCGCGCTCCACCTCTCACTGTCTTCTGCCAACACCGTCGGCTTGTGAAGAAATCAGGTCATCTGTTCCGCGAAACGTCCCTCGTTCCAATTTGGCTGATTGCTCCCTCACTTTTAAAATGACGGACCCTGAGACTTGATTAGACGCCCAGTGTGTGGCCCAGGCTCCCTCGCTGTGGGCTGTGATCCAGTCACCAGTTCCTAAGGTCCACACGACTGCTTCCAGGGAATCTGCGAGTGCCTGGGGCCTGCAGAGGGTCCCTGAGCCTTCCATCATGAAGGCCCTGTCCATCCAACCGTCTAGCACCACCGAGGACCGCTATCAGCGCCATTAGGGGTTCCAAACGGCGATTTTCCAATCCCAGCATCTACTGGAATTAATTAGCTAGGCTCTCCTACAAACAAAAACTGTCCCTCCTCAACTATTCACTTACCCTGAAATGTATGTCATCCGGGAAGGGCATCATAAGTGCTTCTTTCTGTTTATCACTCTTTAGAATAACGGACTGATGCCCCAGCACTCTCCACGGGCGATCAGTGGCATTTACAAGTAATAATTATGGCTATGAACTGAAGGTTGTTACGTAAGTACATACTTCAGCCTGGCTCAGTCATTTCATAAGCTCCGTTTCTCGGTCCCACATCAGTGGGCGCCCCGTTTAGTGGACACGACCCCACTACCTGATACTTCCCTCTGCGTGGGGCTCATCCTGCACACGCAGACCCCCGTTTCCTGGTATTTAGGGGGCCACGGCCCGGGTGCCGGGGTTCTCACTGCTAACTCTCAGCCTCTTTTGGTAGACAAAACTAAGAAATGCGTGGATTTTAAAGAGAAAACAAATAGGAATTCGTAGTACTGTTAAGTTAATTAAACAAGAGGCTGTGAGACGGAGGCCACAAGGCCCAGGTGGCCCAGGTGGCGGAACCCAAACCTCAGCCTGCAAGTGCCTCAGGGTCAGGTCAGGACAGGACACGCTAAGGGCAGCCCCTCGGGCAGCCGCTTGGCCGTAAGCCCCGCCACCCAGTCATTTCCTGCTTTGCTTCTGCACCTTCTCTGTGTAAGTCTGTCCCCTGGCTTCTGCCACCCGAACCACTTCCAGTTTGGCGCTGCCCAATTTAAATGGATTTTTGCTCAGATAAACTCTTAAAAATTTGAATATGCCTGTTTAAGTTTTAACAGTAGGTATGTCTATTTCAAATTTGACACTACAAATTCATACTTCACTTCACCAGTGTTATACTTGTATTTCTTTTCTTATGCTCCAAATTTTAGGCCCCAGTCGTATGTGCGCGGATTTGGGGGCTGGAGAGTTAATGAAAGCGGAGCAGCTTGCCGGACACAGATCTGCACGTCAGGAGCCCTGTGGCCCCGCACAAGGAAAGCGCGCTCGGCGCCTCCTTCGTCTCTCGTCCCGTAGAAATGAAGGGACAAAAGCAGCTCCGATTAGCTAGGCAAGGGTGCAGGAAGGTGGGAAATCATATTCATTCGGGCTTGGGAGCACCCCCCGGGTTGGGGGGGGGTCTGGGGATGCTCTGCACCATCACACAGAAACCCTCACCCACAGTTTGTTAGGGAGCTCCACTCACGTCGTCCACAGCGTGGGCCACTTCTCCAGGCGCGGGGCTGAGGGGAAAAACACATTAATACACACATCACCACGCCTTTCCTCTCTGGGCCCCTGACACCCCAACTCTCCAAACCAAAGCTTGCTGCCTCGTTCCTTTTCTATTTTCTGTTCTCAGTTCCCCAGGCGTTGGGTTTATTTCTGACTGCCTCACTTCCGTTCCCTCACCTCCTCTGGTATCCGTGTCTCTTTTTCTATCCTTTTCTTATTTTCATCTCTCCTCACTCCCTTTTTTTTCTTCTTGAACTCCTTTCTCTTATACCTTCGCTCTTTATTTCATATTTTCATATCCCCTGCATATGTCTATATTTAAATATCTCCCACGTGACAGCCTTGGGTGAGAGGCTTGGGGGTGACTGATACAGAAGAAAAGCCCTACCAAGGTCTACACCTGTAGGAACGTGGGCCTTTGAAGGCAATCATGAAAAAACACGACACGTTTCGAAACAAAACGATTGATGTAAGGGCATAGCCCAGAGCTCACGGAGCCACGTGTGAACCTCTGGGAAGTTGAAAACCCCAACCAGCGCCGTCCAACAGAACAACAGAACTTTGTGTGACGATGGGACATCCTGTCCAAACATCCAACGTCCGCCCTGAAAGTGTGGGTAACGCCACGGAGGAACCATGTTCCCAATTTTAGGTGGTTTTCATTCATTTAAAGTGACATGACCACGTGTGGGGAGCTACCTCGTCGGCAGGGCAGACGCAATCTGTACGTGTCCCCGGGAGAGCATGCCGTGAACACTCCACACCTGGGGACAGCTACCTGCCGTGTTCCCGTGGCACTTGTTGTGCCCTGTTTTCAGTTCCTGCCAGTCGCTGAAGTACATTAAGTGCCAAGCTAGCTAAATAAATGTCTTGAAGAGGAAACATTCAGCCACCATCAGAAAGATACAAATGGTTTGCTTTACATTATAGGACTGACCGAGGGCGTCCTGAGACCTCTGAGGTCACAGCTAACGTGTGCTGTGTAAATACAGGGAAACCTGAGTGGGCAGGATGAGGGGCAGCCAAGGTGAGGAAAGCAAGGTGAGCAAAGTTAGAGGCAAAATGAGTGACGCGTGTTCACTGCAAACCCGCCCATGAGACCGACCAGCAAAGCAGGGGTTTCTGGCAGCACAGGACGTCAGTCATGGAGATGGGAGGGCCTGGAATTCGGGGTGATACAGTGGTCTGTGGGGCAGACACTTCCACGGGGGACTTTCCCCTTGGGAAAGAAGGAGAAGTCAGATTGAGTGTGGCTTTCCAGTAAACACTCAAGTAACCCAAATTTCAGATAATTCTGTGTAATTCATTGAAACCATCAAAACTTTCTCTGAGTCAGAAATACCAGCTGAGTCACCCCTGCGGGGTCTCTGGAGTAATAAAGAAGCACACTCTCCCCCCCTCCAAGAGGAGGTAACATGAGGGGGCGGGGACCGTGCGGGGGCGGGGACCAGTGCAAGCGGTCCATCGCTGGAAGGAGCCTGGCGCTCATCGAGCTTGCTTAGTCCTCTCGGCCAGATTCAAGCCTCCTGCCAGAGGGTCTGCTGGGCACTCGTGATGAGCAAGGCCGCTCCTTCCAGAAAAGAGAACCTCACCCCCAGAACGGGCGCGTCCTGCTCTGGGACCAGGGCTAGGAAAGGAGGGGCCACAGCAACTGGCAGCCATGTCTATATTTTTCCTTAGCGTGCGCGCACACACGCATGCACACACGCACAAACAGGTACACACAGGTGCACACATGCACAAACAGGTACACACACAGGTGCACACACACATGCACACAGGTGCACAAACAGGCACACACAGGTGCACACGCACACATGCACACACGTGCACCCCCATGCACAAACACTTGCACACATGTGCACACACAGGCACACACAGGTGCATACACACATGCACACATGTGCACACACAGGTGCACACATGCACACCCCCCACGCACACACACGTGCGCACACACAAAAGGAAATTACCTGGCGTGTGACCCCGGATCATCGGACTCTTCATCGAACGGCAGCACAGGGCGGATGCGACAGTGGACTATCTGATGTTCCCTTTCAGCTCCTGTGACAACAGAGCGCGGTCCCCGTGGGCACAGGAGCCAGGCCGTGCTGCCGAGCTGCTTCCCCGGAGAACACACACAGTCGTTCCCAGATGTGAGCCTTAGTTTCCCGCCCACATCTCAACTTTTGAAAACATCCCTATGGAGCACTGAGCACTGTTATGTTTAGCTTTTTAAAAATTCGTTTTTAAACTCTTTTACTTGGCAAATGATTATTACTCAGTAGTAAGTATCAAGAAAGCACCTTTCAATGGCCTCCTGGGCCCAATCTTTTAGGCATTTTAGAACTTTCTGAAATTTGGTCTTTTTGCTCATTTCTAGCCCCCCAAAGGGTCCGTCTAACTAGTGGCATGACGTGACATTGGAACCGGCTAAACCACCAGACCGCGTAACGCCAAACCCACACCCACGGAGAAGCAGGGGAACCAGCAAGGCTAAGATTTGTGTTCTTGTGAATCCACGTCAAAACAGTCAGCGTTTGGTTTGGCCACGTGAGTGCGTTTGGGTGACGCTGCTGCTGGGGTCCCCGCATCCGCCAGCACCTTTGCTACGTCGCACTGATGCCTCCATCCCACAGCTGTGTGCCCGGCTTTCTGTCCCCAGGTCAGGGCCAGCCTGTTGCTCCAGCCTGCAGAAATATTTTGGGATACTCTTCGACTCTATTTGCTATCAAACCCTCTTAAATGTGAACCCTCAAGTATAATAAACATGCCTTTGTGTGTCCATCAAACCACTCATAAGTGTTAGGATCCAAGCAGTCGGGGCCCCGCGGACGGGCTCCTGGCGGGAGGGGACCATGGGTCCCCCATCTCTCCTGCCTCCAGGCACGCCCACCGTGAGCGGGTGCCCGGCCCACACTGTCACCTGTGAACGTGTGGCCCTTTTTCAGGTGCCTGGCTGACAACCAGATGCCCTCACCTACCACGTTTCCTTCACACCTGACAAGGAAACAAATGCGCTTGTACTCTCAACAGCACCTGCTGGTTTCCAGGGAGGGTGTTTCCCCTCCACAAGCTCAGAAACCAGCCTTGTAGGGGCCCGTTCTAAATCCACGCCCGGGTTATTCAGCGAGCGGTGAGGTGCAGCTGCTCCTGAGACTTTTGTCTGGGATCCCACAGCGTGCGGCCGGGACCGGCTGCAGCCAGGACCCAGGCTCCTACACGGTCCAGCGCCGCACACGGAGCTATAGTCCCTCGGGCAGCTCGTGACCCCTGCCAGACGCCAGGCAAAGAGCTTCTGGAGTGCTGGCACCTGGCTCGGTCATACAGCAGCTCAGAGGGGCGGCGCTTCTGTGCAGATGCGCCAAACAGGGCCTGCTACAGGGCGCGCCCAGCAAACGTGCTCCAAAGTCAGTGTTTGCGGTGCTGTCACCCAAGCAGGTACGTAAAACGGAATTACTGTCAGATGCGTCCGTGACCGTGGACTGGTCAGCATGGGCGGGAGGGGCTCTCAGGCAGCTCTGTGTCCTGGCTTCAGGTAGATGACAGTCGCAGAGACTGGCCAAGGAACGCTCGTCAGCATCAACTACCATGGAAGCCCATACATCAGAAATCAAGTAAGTCTGTCCAGTAAGTCACCCACTCTGGCACCTTCTGTTGGTAAACGAAAACCTGAGTCTTGGAACGTGAGTGAGAGGCACGTTCAGCATCCCCTTGAGGGACAGGAAGGGCACCGTCCCCCACACCACTCGGGGGTCCTGGTGTGCTGGTTGCAGGGCCCCATCTCTGCATCTCCCCCCACCCGCACCCTCACACCCCTCCCTCACATCTCACGTCTGTAGCTTGGCACGTCCTATCAGGAGGTCCCAGAGGGGCTGGTCCGACCATGTCCTCCCCTGCACTGCCACCAGCCTGGCTCAGGCCACTGTCCCCTCTGGCCAGACTACACCTTCCAACTAGCCCTCAGGTCCCGTCACTGCCTCTCGCATCCTCCACTGGGTGAGAAGTCAAGGCCCCACGGGCCTGGCCCTGCTGCTGCGGCCACCCTGCCTGCTGGCCGTCCCTCCCACCCCCACAGCCGCACTCAGGTCCCCCCTCGAGGTCGCCCCCAGCGCCTTCCTCTGAGCCACCCGGTGGGACACGGGAAGCAGACGGTGGTGCTCACCACCAGGCTGTTGTGGAGTCGCTGCCTCCTCTGCCTCTCCAGGTGATACTGCGCCTCCATTTCCTGTAAGCACCGCTCAAGGTGTAGTGCCTTGGCCCGCCACGCTGAGAGGAGGATTGCACCCCAAGTTAGAACGAGGTACATGGGCCCACCCAGTCCTGTCAATCACCTCGACAGACAGGAGGCTGTGAGGGGCACTGGGCCAGCTGGGTTGCTGTGGGCTGCAGGGCTGGGCACTGGCCCCTGGTGACCAACTCTGAGCTCGCTCACGACTGCCCGTGGGGGAAGCGTGGCATATCCGGTGGGTACCGGCAGGCCACATGGCAGCTGCCAGGCCCACTACCGAGTGCCCCGGGGCTGGAGGGAGGCCCTGCATCTGACTCCTGTTTAGAACAAGTCTCGGGGGCAAGGGGCAGCCTCGGGCCACCACGTCCTTGGCTGGCAAGTAAGGACAATGGCATCTCAGCTGCAATGACACTGTAGGATCGATGGGGACACAAATGCACAAGGGCCTCCAGGTGTGCCCCGGCCCAGCCCCAGGTCTGACCCCTGAGTGCCAGTCTCGCTGTGTGGCAGCGGGACTGACGTGTCAGTCTGCCGGACCCCCGGCTGAGGCAGCCCCTGGGGTTGGGGTCTAGTCAGGGTCACGTCTTACACGGCAGAGCCTCGAGCTGCAGCCGTGTTCGCTCCACGGCGGTCACGATTTCAGAAAGACAGTCCCGGTGTTCGTCCCGGCAGCTTCTGAAAAGGTCCACAGAAGAGGAGTGAAGCTCTTTTATATCTTGTTTCAGTTCCTATAAAACAAGAACGTGCAAGATGAACACAGTCACCGTTACCAGTCATTACAGCATAATTATCCATCACAGAAACATCTGCCCACAGTTCACGTAGCCGCACGGCAATCTGCCATGAACTGAGTCTGTTTACAACCGGGGTGCTGAGTCTGACGCCTGTCCCCACGGCCGGTGGCACCTGCAGGTGGGATGCGAGGCCACGCCCACTTCTGGACTTGACCGCAGGTCTGGGGCTTGCACTGCCCAGAGCAGCCTGTGTGATTCCGTGTGTCCACATATGTGAAGCAGCCACGAAAATAAAGTATTTCACCAATTTCCCGGGGAAGTACACCCATTGCAAGGTGGGGGAAAGCCAGATGCAGGACGTCTCTCTGTCTGCTGTTTACTTCCTTGCGCTGTTGGCGCGGTCACCCTCCTGGCATGGGGACAGGGCTCTAATCTCTTATCCAGACCACCTTCTGGCAGCCCAGTCCTCAGGAGCTCCTGGGGAGAACAGTGGAGGCCGGGGCGCTCTCGCCACGTGAGTGCGTTAAGAAATTCCAGGCACAGCAGCCCTGAGGACTTTTCAGAACTTCGGGAACAAAGCAGCTGTTGGGCCGTGTCCTCCGTGTGAGGGCCTTTCCCCGAAGACGTGACGGCCCACGGCCGGGAGCCGGGCCCTGCCTCGCATCGGGTGTCAGAATTGAACCTCGGATCGTGCCTGAGCTCAGAAGCTCTGTAAGTCTTTTCTCTCCTATGAAATGGAGATTACATCCACGTTTGGGAAACATTTTGATAAAGTATCAGAACTAAATTGAGTTAAAGTATTTGTAGGATGTGGCATGCAGACAGTTATACACGTCACTCAAAGATGGATTCATCTCACTCAGTTGGAGGAGAATAAAGAATTAATTGTACATAAGTCCATTCTAAACACACTAATGCAGTTCATGGGGGGGGCGCCTCTCAGTGGGGTCAACGCTGCTGACAGATGGCGTTTTGTTGTAATAATGACCTTTGCTTCCTCCTAATTTTCACCGGTCGCATTGTTTATAACAAAAAGTGAACAATGCTCTTACTCAAAGGTATAAAAATATCCCCCGTTTCACCCTGGAGAACGGCCAGATGTGCTACACGGAGTAACTAACGCCTTTCCCACCTTTCCTTCTGGGATCTCCGCCATTTGGAGGCGCTGCTCTGAGGACGCGCGGCGGCAGCTTCGTTAAGGGGACATGTGCAAAGCAGGGCCCTGCCAGGTGATGGTGAATGAAGCTGAGAACTGCTGCCGGGTGAACGAGACACCACAGATGTCTGACGCAGCCCCTCTCGCGGCTGAATGTTTTCTTTCTGTGTTAGCTTGGGTCCCAACCGCCTGAGCTTCCTGAGGGGTGTCTTGTCCTCCACGACTGTGCGGAAGCACAGCTCCAAAGCCGTTATGGCATCCGTGGTGACCTTCCAATCTGGGGGGAGCAGGCGAGCCAACTGTCGCAGAAAATCTGTCAGACGCACACGAGTAGCTTTGCTCCCCAGACTGAGGCTCCTCTCCTTCCCCTGAGGTTTCCACACGCATGACTTACACGGCTGACCAGAAAACAAGCCCTGACTTATGACCACGAGCATCCACTGCGTAAACAGTCCGGCTTCCGTGCACTCGCTTTACCTGAGCCGCGTGACGGAGCTCGATCCAGGGCGAGCGTGTCCTCTGCAGACGCCCCTGCTCGGGGCCAGGCCGTGTGGCCTTGCTGCTCCTCGCCCCCGTCCTTCCTTGGCACTGTCGTGGAGACAAACAGAAGAGGTCTCAGCGCCTCAAAACGCAGGCGCTGAAGAAGGCGCATCGCCTCCGAGGTGAGGAGCTCCCTGACCGTCTATGTTCCCCGGTCTCCTACGAGCAGACACTGGCCAGGCCGGTGCAGCCACCGCTGCGGTGGGAACCAGCCATGACGGTGGCCTGTGAGTGCGGGAGCTGCACAGGGCCAGTGGGACTCTGGGGGGGGGGCAACGTCCTGAAGGGTGAAGCGTTGGGGCAGGCCCGTGGGGAGCCGCGTCTGTAAGGGCCCAGGAGGTGAAGGGCAGGTTCCAGCAACGGAAAGAACAGTGTGAGAGGAACAGAGGCTGAGCAGGCCAGGTGGGGAAGGGTGACAACCAGGGCGTTTGTTTAGGGACAGCGCCAAGCCATTGGAGGGTTTCTAGCAGCAGGCACGTGTTTCTAGAGATCACCCTGGGCGTTGTGTGGACAAGGATGGCACAAAGCGGGTAAACCGGTCGTGCGACGTTCACAGCAGGGACAGTGGGCAGGGTCAGCAGTGCTCAGGGGACACCCTTGCCAGGACTGGGGGGTGGACGCGGGGTCGGAGGTGGGGGCCCTTTACAGGTCCCGGGTCTCGGGCTTGAGCAGTGGGCGGAGGCGCCGTTCACTCAGGCACTAGGGACACATAACGAGCTTGGGTTTCTGCTGCTTTGTTTCCCAGAAGCGCTCTCGGGTGCTCACTCTCACACGACGCTCTTACACGCTGGTGCATGCCAGAAAATCGCCCCTCCCTCAGCACTGCAGCCGCACGTTCCCACACAGTAACAACATGGTTAAACTAACAGTAAGATGCAGAATGTCATCACTTATGTACTGAAATAGACTTACTGATACTAGAAATATTAAGATGTGGTAAGCGCGAAAGCCATGGGGGAATATGGCACACGTGCTCTCATTAACAGGAGTCCACTCATCTTCAGGAAGGAAGGGTAGGGAGGAGAAGGAAACGGGCCAGGAGGCAGCCCCCAGGAGGTAGGAGGTCAGTGTGACGCGCCGGTCACTGACGACGTGGCCCCTCCAGCGAGAATGCTCAGTGGCCACTGGTTACGGTGTCCCAGGGCTCTGCCACTGGGAGCGCAGCTCTCCGAGTCTGCCCTTGACTGGTGACAGCAGAGAGCAGGGAGAGCTGGGAGCGCGTGTGACACTGAGTGACACCGTCCATGGGGAAGGACAGCACGTGAAGTCATGCAGCTGCTGCCGGGAGGGGGCCCAGCAGTCTGGAGCGGTGTGCGTGGACCGGCGACATGGGGCGCTGCAGACAGGCAGGGCTGACAGTGAGGTGACGGGGACCCAGACGGCGGCCGCCTGCTCCGGGCCGGCTGTGGCGAGGAGATCCCGCAGATGAGTAGGTGGGTTTCGGGGTGTGGGCTGGTCTTAAGCAAGCTCCTCCCAAGGCTCCAGGGGGTGCTTGCCACGAGGTGTCTGGTGGGGGGACAGGAAGACACTCTGTCCATGAGATGGGACAGGTGGTCTGCCCCCAGCGAGGGGCCGTGTGGAGGGGCTGGGAGCAGAGATTTGCGAAGGGTGGACAAGGCTCAAGCACCTTCCATGGCGGGTGGAGAGTGGCTGACTCTGGCACCAGCGCTGTGGCAGGTAGACAGTGGGGACCGACCTTTCTATTTGTCGGTATTTTGCAGCAACTCGGTGCAGGCGCTGGGGAGGCCTCGCCGGATGGGGACACACGGAGCACTGGGGTGTGAAGGTGGCAGAGATGGCGGGGTCCTGGCTAGCTGCAAGGGAGCACTGAAATCATGGCTAAGACATCTAAGTGGCGAGTGACAGGAAGTCCTGGGACGGCTGCTGCAGGAAAACAGTGACCAGGGGACTGAAGACCGGATGGGATGGACGGACTGTGGGGCAACGGAATGAGTGAGCCACTGCTGTCGTCGGGCAGAGGCGTCCGAGTCGGTGACATGGGACGGGTGGAGAGGAGCGGGGACCAGGCAGGGGGAGGCGGGTGGTGCCCGTGGGGTGTGGGTGCAGGACAGCGGGGGGAGGCCCCTGGGTGTCCCTGTGGGGAGACACTAGTCTGCTCCAGGCCAAGGGTCAAGCCAGGCCTTGTTAGGAAGCAAACAGGAAGTCTGTGGACATTTTAATGTCGCAACATGACCATTTTTTAAAGGAAAACATTATAAAAAGTCAAGAATTTTCTGGAGAAGACAGCTATGAAAAGGGAAAGTGCGGATCACTTCCAACACTCAGTGTTAAGACTCTCTCAGGGAAAACTGAGCTCATGAAAGAAGGGTGAGAACCGTCCTCACGGTGTGGCTAGTGCTAAAAACAAAAACTGCCAAATGGCTGTAAGCTCTGCTCGGACTCGACTTTTACGCACTGTGTTCCCTACAGAGGGAGATGCTTATTCCTCTGACGGAAAAACAGATCCCAGTGGGCCAGAGTTCCCTAAAATGCAGCTATTCGGGTGGCAGAGACGAGTGGCTGCTTGTCTGCCTTCTGCTGCTGCCACACCCTGAGTTTATCCACGCTTCTGCTGAAACCCCAGGCTCTCTTAACGGTAGGACGCCACGCGACCCAATTCTGGCCAGGGAGGTGTTGGCAGTCATGGGCAGGGTTTCTGAGCAAATGACAAAGAGGGACAGACTTGCAGGTGCGTTCCCTATCTCCTTGGTCCCCCCACACACAAACCTGGCACAGGGATGTGCTACCTGGAGCCCCAGCAGCCACCCTGACGCATCTGCACAGTCGGCAGCCACTTTTGGGGGACACGTCAGTGGCTGAAGTGGCGAGTGTGTGGCCGTGGCTCCCCAGCCCTGCCTGCCGCCTCCATGCGTCTCGTGGCAGGACGACAGCCACCTGCTCCTGTCCCTTCCAGCCTCCAGCCAAACTCCACCCTCACTGAAACAGCAACAATAACCTCAGCTCTGCCTTTCTGCCAGATTAACTCACTGATACCTCTGCTGGCTCAAACTTTTACTAAAACCTTCCTCTGTTGCCAAACCCAGCTTTGTTGGCATTTGAATGTGCTTCGCTAATTTTTTAATCCTCAAATAGATCGTGGACAAGACAAGCTGACGGTCGGTCGGTGGGACCGAGGGTAGCAGAGGGCTGGAGCCCACATTAACGATGGCAGCTGTGACACCGCGGTCCTCAGACGCGGCCTTCACGACCAAGACCGTGGGGTGCAGTTTCTCTCACGTGGACGAGCTCAGGACAAACACGACGTGGAAGTGGTGGGCGCTGCTGTTGTCATGTTGAAATGACAGCAAGTAGCACGCGGGCATCAACTACTCCTCTGTGGACAGAGGGAACTAAAATGAACTAAAATTCAGATTAAGTTTCATTGAATTTGGCTCATTAGCGCTGGGATGCCCCAGGGCGCCTGGTTTAATCCCACACAGTCGCTTTGAAGTAGGACAGCAGCGGGGTGCTCAGAGGCACGAATTCTGTCCCAAATATCTGGAGAGGGAATGGAGGAGGGGGTGTGGTTAGCGCTGAGGCTCAGCTTCCTTCTTCCGT